AAGGTGTCGAACGTGGGTCTCTCCAGTGAGAGTCCATCATTCTTAACTGTTCGGCCAACTGCTTAATCATAATTGTCAGTATTTCATGTGAACTCTTTCAGTACCAACCAGCACCACCACACATCCCTTGATCGCTCCAAAGACAATGTGATATACTTGCTGTCTTTTATCACAGACAGATCGTATCCACTTTATAAAAATTATTAGTTCTTTCTATACATATTATTAGTTAACTACTATAAACCACATGATACAATGTGAATATCCAGGGCCAGATAACATATATAAAGAATATTTCATATAATCTTTCTTTGTCAGTTGAGACGAGAAAAATAATTCTCAAAAGCTATATAAATCGTATCTTGATATACGGAAGTGAAACGTGGACAGCTGGTAGTTAAGTGAAACACTATTTGGAAGCTTCAGAGATGTTTTTTCATAGACGGATGATGAGACACTCTGGACAGATAAAAAGAGTAATGAAGATGAAAGAAACTGACTGACGAAGAGAACTGATTGCCCACATCAAAACGAGACAATCTACATTATATGGTTTTATTATGAGAAGCAGAAGGTTTGAGTACAACGTGACAGTAAGAAAGTTATGATGGAGGAGAAGTAGAGGGAGACCAAGAAAACAGATCCAGGACAGTTTGACATCACGGCATGGCGGATCATCTGTGTCAGAGTTGATTGAAAGTACACCAGACGGAATGTTGTGGATAAACATGAATATCAATGCCACACCGCATGGACTTTAAGAAGAAGGATTAATCTTCCATCTGATGTTATCAGGGTACTCAAGTACTTAAAAATATCAACTTGCTTGAAGTTTGTCCCCTTTACTTTGATATTGTATTTCAGAGGGTCAGTTTTCTTTTCTTCAGATGCCAATAAAGCTAAATTTCCTAGCATGCTGTGAGAACCTATGAAAAGGACTTAATCATATTACATGTTGAGTGGGATTAACATATGTGCTAATCACATATCACATAGTGTTTTGGACTGCAAGAGTTCAGTATTTATTTTATGTTAAACCAAATTCCTTGGAAAACAGGAGTTAATGTTAACTACTACATGGGAATGAAAGAATTTATCCAAAGAATGTTGCAATAACAGTTAAATTCTTTTCGTTGACATTTTTAAGATTATGAAGTTCATATCTCTTTATTTTCCAGATAAAATGACTAAGAAGGACGACTCTAACGACAGTGTACTAAACAATGTTAGTTCCCCTGCGACAGCCAGATATGGGAACTCCAGCGAAGAAATCACGCAACTTCTGCAAGCTTTAAATCATGAAAGGGCGCTGTACAACATCCCTGCCATGATCTGGGTGTCGCTTCTCATGGTTGTCGGAGTAGTGGGCAACTCTCTAGTGGTCTATGTGTACAGAAGGCGCTTCAAGAAGACGTCCTCTAATTATTTCATTCTATCCATGGCGATATTTGATTTGATAGCGTGTCTTGTAGGCATGCCAACAGAAATATACGACCTCAACAACCCGTACACGTTTTACAGCTCTGCAGGCTGCAAGATCCTTCGAGGCTGTGAGGTGTTCACTGTGTATGGTTCCGCCACGGTTCTAGTAGAGATTGCCTTTGATCGTTATTTCAAGATCTGCAGGCCACTTATGGTTGTCAGCTTGTCTAGAATTCGAATGTTATGTCTTCTTGCTGTAATCCTTGCCCTATTGCTGTCCATCCCACCGTTCGTTTTGTTTGGCATCAACCGCGTCAAAACATCTCTGCCCATGGTTGAAGGATATGACTGTTCAATAGCAATGCACTATAAAGATTCCGTTTTTCAAACTGTCCACTACATCATATTGGGTGTGTTGATACTGCTCACCTTCATATCTTTGACAGCAATCTATATCCGTATCTGGATGGAAATTCGCTGTCGGCGTCATCTTTTTATCGGTGATCATATCAAAAAGGAATGTGATTCTGATTCAAGACCACGGCTGCGGATTAAATACGTGCCCAGCGTCAGCGAAGACGAGTCCATGAACAATTCAGTCTACGCTAACGGCAACAATATGTCTATGACACAACTACAGATGAACAACAGCAAAAAATCGTCCAGTTCACAAAACACCCTGAACTCACTAGAGCGCCGATCTAAGTTCAGCTCCCTTGCCAGTTATGCTTCTAGACTTAAGGTTACCAGAACCACTATAGTCCTGTTCGCGGTAACGGTGGCGTTTGTCTTGAGCTACCTCCCATCTATAGCTGTGATGTTGATACGAAGTACTGTGAAGGACTTTGACGAGAATCAAAGCATTGGTGCTCAAGTTGTAGCAAAAATATTCTCTAACTGCTTCTTCATCAATCATGCCATCAATCCCATTATCTACAGTTTTCTAAACATTCACTTCCGCCAGCAAGTTCAGAAAACATTTCAGCGCATTTTCTGCTGCTTCTGTTATAAAAGAAAGTCCCCCCAAAAGATGGATTCAGACAGAAGTACAAAAAAGGAGTTCTTGACAAGGGACTAGGCATATAGCTCTAATGATCAGTATGTAAGAATATCCTTTTTGGTAAATTATAGACGGGGACAATATGTCGAAATTGGTCTCTACTAAGATGTATAAAGTTGTGTGCTAGCAGTACTTGAATAATGCAAGTTTTGATATGGATTCTAGGGGCAAGGATGTCATGGGCTGTGTTGCATGGAGGAGGGAAACCAGGAAGGGAACATGAAAAAGGAGAAAGTGACTATAGATGTACTTAGACTGTGCGTCTATGAAAAAAAAAAGTTTCATTACATGCGATGGCAACATTGGTTCTGAAGTCCCATGCTCTAATTGTGAAACATGTTTAACTCCACTAGGTCTTGCTGTTTACACTCGCCATTGCCATGGGCTGTATTTTCCATGCCTCACAATAACACAACATAGAACTTTCGTTTGGTGATAAGGAAAGATGTCAACAATCATGAGAATGTAAACATTGAGATGCTAATTTGAACATTTACAGTAGACTGTTACACTTATTGTTAGTATTATCAAGTTAATTTGTTTTGCTGGTTAGGTGTTGTTCACAGTTGCATAATCACTGTATTAATGTGCAGGTCATTTGGTGATATAAAGTGGTACGTTGATTTTAATAAAGCAATAAAGACCTACTCAAATTAAAATTGCTATTTAACTACAAAATAGCTAGCAGATGCAGCTGCGGTCTCATGAAAAGAATGTGCAACTAACTCTAATTGTTTATTGGACTTTTACAGAAAATCAACTTATTTATGGCAAAAGTCACTACGATACTAGTATCGAAGTTCTGTCAAGATGGTGTCTTCTGTGAATAAATCATTTTATCGCATTCAACAGAAAATATACCTTTTTAAAATAGAGAGGAATTTACCTAACAGTAAAAACTTACCGGAGCCAGCTATAAAAATAGTGCGGTTAGTGAATGCAACTACTTCTTAAAGTCGGTTATGAACGTTAGGAAATTATGACAACACATATTATAGATGGTTATAAAATGAAAGAGGTTATGGCGAGATATGCACGAAACAGTTATAAACTGAACAATGTTACAGCGGCAACGTACTGAAGTCAGTTTTCAAATAAACAAAGTTATAGCAACATAAATTGGAGTATAAAATGAATGAAGTTATTGTGTCACATATTCGAGACAGTTAAAAACTAACGAAGTTATAGCCACCACATAATGGAGATAGCTATATAATACTTCTTCTTCTTCTCTTTCACCATTTACCTCATCAATATGTTGGGGGAGGGGGGTGTAAGGATCGTTTGTGTGCTTTGTCCAATGCATTGTATAAGTTGGTGTTAATTTCTGTTAGTTTTCCTGGTGATTGCGCTCCCTATCTTGCGCGGTCCTCCTCTTGATCTGTGTTCATCATATTTCTTCAGTGTGGCTGTCTGTGGCAGTCGGCACCAGGGCATTCTCGTCAGGTAGCCAAACCATCTCATTTGTTGTTCTTTGCTGAATTGTAAGACTGCTTTAAGTCCTAATCTTCTTCTAATTTCTTCATTCTTGATTTTATCTCTTCTTGTCACACCGGCAGCTCTCCTAAGACATCTCATCTCTGTTGTTACGATCTTCCGCTCTTTAGTTGTAGTTTAGGGTCCATGTTTGGCACAGGCAGCACAATGTTGGCCAAAAAAAACCGTTCTTATGAGATTTGCTTTGGTTGTCAGAGGTTTCTTTCTATGCGTTCAGAAGCGGCAATAATCGTTCCATACCCCCCGATTTGCTTTCGCACATCGTAGGTTGATTTCTTTATCCATTCTTCAATCTGAGGTAAAAAATGACGCTAGATATTTCAAATCGCTCGTTTGTTTCATTTTTGTGTTATTTACTTTAATTCATTCACAATGTTAGAACTTAAATCAGCAATAAAAAAACTAAAGAAGAACAAGGCTACTGGCGCAGATGAAATCTCAGCTGAAATGTTAAGGCAGCAGACGAAAACACCTACAATATTTGCTACAGCTGTTCAAATGATGTTTGGCTAAATGAATCCCCACCGCAACAGTGGGAAAGAAGGTGTTATATTCAAACTGCCCAAAAAAAGGTGATTTAGCAGACTGCAACAACTGGCGTGGTATCACCCTACTCTCCGTACAGGAAAAACTGTTCTGCAGCATGCTAATGCAGAGACTGAAAAAGCCAATAGATGCAAGACTCCGAGAAGAACAAGCAGGATTCAGACCGAATCGGTCATGCATCGACCATATATTCACACTCAGAACCATCGTAGAAGAGTCAGTAGAGTTTCAATCCCAAATTCTCATCATCAACTTTGTTGATTTTCAGAAGGCCTTTGACAGCATACACCGCCCTACACTCTGGAAGCTACTCACAATCTATGGTTTCCAAGATAAATTGTCAATATTTATAAAGGCCTTCTACACCGATTCCCGCTGCCTTGTTAGAACGGAATCTGGTAACTCTGATTGGTTCCCAGTAGAAAACAGGCGTGAAACAAGGATGTGTCTTGTCACCAATGCTTTTCGGAATAGCACTCGATTGGGTCATGCGCAAATACACACAGGACACACATCTAGCATCAAATGGGTCGACAAAGTTCTCGAAGATCTTGACTTTGCTGACGACCTAGCACTCCTGAGCACAACACATCTAGAAGCTCAGGAAAAAATGGACCGCCTCCAGAATATTTCAAGCCAAATCGGCCTTCAGGTCAACGCAGCCAAAACGAAAATCATCGATCTTACCAACGAGTCGAAAGACATCAAACTAAAGGATATTGTTCTTGAAAAAATCACCAGCTTCACATACTTAGGGAGCAAGATAACCTCTGCGGGAGATACAACATCAGAAATAACGACTCGAATCGCGTTAGCATCAAGTGCCTTTAACAAACTGTCAAACATTTGGAAGTCAAGATCACTCAGCAACAACACGAAACTTAAGGTCTTCAATTCCTGTGTGATCCCAGTGCTAACTTATGGTTGTGAGAGTTGGAAATCATCAGTATCAATCGATAAGAAACTAGTCGCTTTCGAGAATAGATGCCTCCGAAAGCTATTGAATGTTCACTGGTCGACTTTAGGTCCAATACATCTATAAAACAGGAAACAAAACAAAAATATGTGTCTGATTTTATTAGAAAGCGTCGCTGGAATTACATCGGTCACGTACGAGAATGGACATACAGAGACTTCCCCACCAAGCCTTCATATGGTCACCAGAGGGTAAAAGAAAACAGGGAAGACCAAAAGAAACTCTCCGTAGAACCATCACAAGGGAGAGCTCAACCATAGGTCTCAGTCGCACTCAAGACCTACATCAAGTGGCAAAGAACCGACAGACGTGGAAAGCTATGACCTCTGCCCTATGCGCCATCTTTGGCACAAGAGGAATAACTAACTAACTAACTAACTTTAATTGATTTGGTTTCTTCTTTCCTGCCTATTACCATTGCCTCTATCTTATCAATGCTTATCTTTATTTTGCATTTCTCACACTTAGTATTGACTTAGTTATATGGTTCTGAAAACTCTTTTCTGTTTCAGCTATTAATTCTTGGTCATCTGCAAATACCAAGCTTGCATCCTTGAGATATCATCTTTTTCTTTGCTCTCTGCTTCCTTGCATATATTGTCGATGTATGTTACAAAAAGCAGGGAATATAGCACGCATCCCTGTCTTACTCCTGAATTTACTTCCAAAGGTTGCAGTTTACCTGCTTTTATTCGTATGAAACATTTACATTATGTATATAAGCTCTTATACACTTCAGTTAGGTGTTTGTTATAAAATGAACGAAGTTATAGCGCTAAATACTCGAGACATTTATAAAATGAACGAAGTTTTAGCGCTATATACTCGAAACATTTATAAAATGAACGAAGTTACAGCGCTATATACTCGAGACATTTATAAAATGAACGAAGTTATAGCGCTATATACTCGAGACATTTATAAAATGAACGAAGTTATAGCGCTATATACTCGAGACATTTATAAGATGAACGAAGTTATAGCGCTATATACTCGAGACATTTATAAAATGAACGAAGTTATAACGCTATATACTCGAGACATTTATAAAATGAACGAAGTTATAACGCTATATACTCGAGACATTTATAAAATGAACGAAGTTATAGCGCTATATGCTAGAGACATTTATAAAATAAACCAAGAAATAATGAAAAGCTACCCAGGCCTTTCTTCCTTCACTGGGTACCTGATAATTCTCTAGGACATTAAACAGTGAGAAAGTTAACCACTCACTTGTTATCAAAAGGTCATTAGCAGATTCACAGTACTGCTGCTTTATATACCTGGTTTTCTACTACATGACCATATTTGTGTACGATATGGATTTTGTTTTAAAATCTTAGGAGTAAGATAGAAATAAAATAACCCCACCAATGTCTTGTAACACGTCAATATTGGGGTTACAGATGCCAAGAGTATCAGGCACGTGATATAATCGATAAAGGCGAGTTCAGTAACGTCATAATGATAGTTTACTGATGCCGCCGCACTTTTGCCATGCACTAAAGAGGATTAGCGTTCTGTTATCCGTAAATTCATAATGAATAAGTTTCTGTGTGGTGATGTGTGCCTGTCAGCCCAGGAAGGGTTTTTGTGTGCAGTAGGAATGTTCTAGGAAGACTATGTGGTGATTACATGCTGTGCCTGACCGGGCAGTGAAAAGGTTAAAACAGAAGTCTCGCTATTCTGAAATTTCTATCACATTTTAAATGTTTTCATTTGAAGCCCCTTCGTATTGACACTTAATTTCGTGTCATGAGTGAACAGTATTTAGCCTTTACTTCTCAGAAAAAGTTCGTGATACCCATTTTTTAATTGGTCGAACTAGTTGCCCTTTTAAACAAAAAAAAGATTTTATAAAGTGTATTCGAACACATGACCACCAAACAGGCAGGCAAGAGTGCTTACCATTGCACTGCAGCCATTTAGTTGTAAATTTAATTAAACATTATGTTATTACTTTGTTAAGAAAGTGCAATATACTTATAAGCATATT